ATGCCCGTGACAAGCAGAAGAAAATTCATGCCTCATACGACATGCAATAAAATCCCACACAAATATTGCCACTTAGAAATGAGTTCAGAAGTGTGTTTGTCAGAGTGAGGGTCTGATCCTAGAATTATCCACTCCAAGCTATAGCGGGGACTTATCACGTCCAGAGACAAGGCTTTCTCGCACGAAATTAGTGCTTCCCTTAGAGGAGGGTTAAAACAACTCTCAAATGAATACCACCAAGCTGCCTGACATCTTGTTGTGGGGTAACCGTGATCAAACATTTCATGCAAACGAAAGCATTTCAGTTGGAACATACGAAACTTCTGTAGGAATAATTATAAATTGACGGTATTTATTCAATGTTTCAAAACCTCTCAAACCATTTTCTGGCTTTCGTGATTTTTTTGCAGCCTCAGGATGGGTCATCTGCTAATACATTCGTGGGAATTTACAACTACATATATCTATACCGGATTCAGGAGTGGAACTGTAAACAACGGACAATATTCAGAATTTGTAACTCGTCTCCTATTGTTCAAATGAACCGTACTTGTGGTGTATAAATTAGTTTGAGATTTTAGTTTAATAACCGCGGTGTAGTTATTTGACCTCATCAAACAAGTTGATCAAGGGTCTCACAGATTTATGGATGTTTAGGGAGTCTCTAGGTCATTTTGGAAGGAGCTCAACGGCTTCCGTCAGTCACTCACAAGACGGCCTCTTGATGGTGGGTGAGTATATCGGCAGTAGCTTCCAACATTTTCATCCTAGATGCGGCAACGCAGCATCCACTAACAGCACACCGATTGCCAAAGTCGGATGAAGTGGNCTCACAAGAGGGCATCTTGATGGTGGGTGAGTAGATCGGCAGTAGCTTCCAACATTTTCATCCTAGATGTGGCAACGCAGCATCCACTAACAGCACACGGATTGCCAAAGTTGGATGAAGTGGGTTGCTACAAGGAGATATTTAATCATTTTGAAGCGCGCTGCATCACGATTCGGCTGATGAGTGTGACGAAACTTAAAGGACAGTGTTCTGTTACCGGTTCACGGTGATTCTGTCCATCATACGCAGGGCTTGTGGGCAGTTTGTCAAACGCCTGGAGCAGGTGCAAACCGAAGTTCCGATCGAAAGTTAACATACCGTACAACTGGACACTGCCCTATGAGGGTAGTAGTCAACGGTCAATTTTCTAGGCAGTGCTTGCCTATATTTCGCTCGCTGTTATCATTAACAGCTCATTTCATCGCAAACGTTAAATTGTTCCATGAAATTTGTCCGAAATTATTTAGCTGTAACCAGAATCGCCAATCAATCACATAACTTGATGCGTGTTTCTCTGTGGTTAATTTTGAGCTTTGGATCATACTACGCATAATAGCCTCATGCCTTTCTATATGTCCAAACCACGGGTATTCGAGTATGGTATTAATTTAATTATTCTATTCCGATCCGGAAACTATTTTGACGGAATGTTTAACCAGCTGAAAAGTTTCTCAACCATGCTAGAGTAGACACCATCCCCCAGTCGTTGAGAGCAGAAAAAAATGGGAAGCCTTGTTGGAGATTTCTCCTTGAAAGTAAAGGCGGTTTCTGACCATAAGCTGAAAGCAATGTGGATCCGTTTCATCCTTACCGTAAATCAACAGCGGTGCGCATCTCACCAAATTCCAGGTAGTTTCAAGCCGGACCCGTGACGATCCGGCTAGTAGTTTCGCTTCGAGCCGCTGTTCAGCAACGTGATCAGTTACCAATAAAACAGGACATAGCGCCACTAATCCTACATTGACAGATAACCACATCACGTGGTCACGTGTTGACTGGCACCCAGAAAGAACACTTTTGGAGGGGAAATTCCAGTGAAATTTTCCTTCCTCTGACCTAATTATCGTTTCACTGTAATGTGAGGATAGTTGACTATAATTAGTAGCGAATCCAATCTACGCTGAAGTGCCGGGAGGGAGTGTACAACAGTTCCATCCTGGTTGGGAATGATCAACAATGCGCACTTCACTAAACCAGCAAATATTGCCTGGTTAACGTTTTGGTAATACTGCGGTCGGCGTAAGAAAAACCGCACCTCAGTTTCCTCAGGCCAGGTTTATTCGACGACAAAACACCTCGTCAAAGGGGCTGTGTTCCAAAAGGTTCTACTACTTGTGCACTTTTGAAGTTATATTCCTCTGTACGCTAGTTAACTTGAGTAAGAATATTTCGAAAATTATTCACGGTTGCACACAAATTCGGTTTCTAAGGAAGCTCACATAAGTCTCTCGTTAATATGGTCCGCTTCAAACGCTCTCAGGGATTCCGCCCACTATGTGGTATTATGGTATCTCGAACACCCTTCTAACTGAAATATCAGGCGCCCTCGTGCAGCACAATCATTTGAAGCGGGACATCGCAAAAAATCCATGCAGTCGGATTCATCTGAGTCCCCCGTTAAAACCAAATTTGATATGCCAATGAACGTGGTTTTCAAAATCTGCCTAAATTCGATTCAAACAGAATTTGAAGTAGAAGGGAACTCGTGAACTTAGATCAATGAATGGCGCAACTGTTGATGAGTAGTCAAAGGGTTTCCGGCAGCATTATGAAGGTTGTGTTACATCGGGAATTTATCATTTAACTCCCTCTCCTTCAGCTCCCTACTACCTTTTGGCGAATAATGAAACATGGATTCGTTAGCCAAAAGGTCTACACGAACTTTACCGAATTTGACTTCCTGGCTCAGGGACTTTGGATGCACACAACGTTCTATTCGTTAGTATACTGCGATATGTACACAGATCATCAGAAGTAGCTAATCAGTAATTTATAACCAGGTATCCCGCAGACGCTTAGATGTAAAACATAGGGTGCAGATCACATGATACTCAACAAAATGCTGTCTGCCGCAGTGAATATTACGGAAAGTGAGACCTGTACAAACGCCTATTCCGCTGCCTGTCAGTGGACAGAATTTGGTGGTAAACAACTTCAGAGAGTAAGCACTGAAGCTGTGTTCGCCATGCGCTATCCTGGGCATTCTACTTTCGTTTCTTTCATCTAGCCGATAGCCAGACAACTAAAAGCGGAAGAATCCCTGCAATTTTTATGCTTCTACTAAGCATTGCTTGTTAGTTATACATTGTGTCGAGTAGTTTCACGGATTCACGGGATGATACACAGCATCGACGACTTTGCCCAAGTTTCCAGGTCGCTTTTATTCCTGTCGGTCAGTGGCTATAGTTCACCAAATCGGCACAAGTGAAAAAAGGGTGCAGCACTGCTCTTTATGTTCTGAGCGCGGGAAGTGTGCTTGCCAGCGCGAGGATTCACATAAATAAGTGTCGAACAGTGCTTCAAACTGGGTTCTAGAAGGAGCGTGAACAACCGCCGGAGGAAGGTCATTCCACGCACCTACTACCCGAAGTGAGAAGAAAACTTCTTTAATGAATGCCCGTGCTTTGAGCTTGAAAATTCGTTTGATATGTCTCCGCCGGCTGTTTGCTGGTTCAACAGTAAAATACCTGTTTGCCAGTCTTCGTTCAAACGGGGCATACTTCAGAATTAGGTCCCCCCCAGAGACGACAGTACTCCAAGGGAAACAGAGGCGGTCTGACGTAAACCCCATAGAGTATTTTGAAGTATGTGCGAGTAATACGGGAGAAGGTGCGTCGAATCATCCGTAAAATGGCGAATGCCTTTCGGGCCGATTTTTCATGGTGCAGTGAGAAGGACAAGTTTGAGGAGAACCAGATGCCCAAATCGTTTTAGGCATCTATCATCATCACGTTTCCGGTTGGATAATTTCCAATTTAGCATTCCGTTAGATGGATGGGCAGTGCTCTGAATGGCTATGGCCAATTAGTACACGTGGTAGGCTCGTAGTTCTCGAAATCCGTCCAATTTTATTTCAACTTTCTACTCGTTGCCATAGAGCGACATATCTACGGAATATCTCAACTATTTGGATTGTATGTTAGGATCCGGTGTCCCACACTTGCCTACCCGTAAAACCGAATGGATGCGGACCACAATGACAAAGGGCTGTAGAAAATTCCTGTCCACCACAGCGCAAAAGTCAAACAATGTAGTCTGAACAAATGCCTACCCCTCTGCGGGTCCGCGAACAGAATATGACAGCAACTAACTTGTGAGTGACAAGCCATTCCGCTAAGTCATCCTGAGTATTCTAATCTCCCTTCTCCCGCCCAATCAACTGGTAAACTGGTACTTGTTATCCCTGGTTTTATACTCGTTCCAGGCATCGGTTGTCCATCTTGCGACGATTCGTTAGTCAGAAGAAATACAAGAATTCGGGTGGAAATTGTGGATCCAGGATCCAAATAAAGGAATTCGACGAACGTTTTGTAGCACAAACCAACAGAATACATGAACGAAAGCTCGCCACTAAAAGACACGATCAGTTGTCCCTAATCTACGCACACAAAAATCAAGAAGGACACGAGTTTTCCTGGAGCGGCGTTTGCATACTGGCTCAAGGGAAAGAAAAAGAGAACAAAAATTTATGGAAACGTGGTATTCCACCGAAGAATCCATCAACAAACACATCGAAATTGATCGTATTTACCAGCCAGAACCACAGAATTTAGAGCTGCAAAAGCGACCAAACGTGGAATTCGTACGAGAACCGAGAAAGCGACATTCAAACGGACACATCAACTGAATTGGATGAGGCGCCCAATCAAAACAACAAATCAACCGGCGGACGCAGGGACATGAACCGCCAGGGTGGAGGGAATGCGGTAGGCCACAAGGCCTTACGAATCAAGGCCGGAGAGTACAAGCTACTAAAATTAGTATTAGTTGGGATAACCTACCAACACAAAGTAACACAGACCACAACGCAACAAAGATCACAAACGGACCAAAAATTCACTAAGTTCACTACACCTCAAGTATCCAATCACGTCAGAAGATGACCGATAGCCGTTGACTGCTATATAGACACACGGAAGCAAAGAAGTACCCACCCAACTGCGCAGAGATGATGTCTCCTCGTATGGTGACGAAACGTTTGCAAGCCAATCCCCACGCTCGGCGAACAGGTCAACAGCCACCTGATCAACAACCAAAAAACTCAACCGATCTACAATTATTTCACCACATTACCAGATATCTTAACGCATACTGCCGTATCACAGAATTACGGTTTATCCCCAGCAACTGTTTTGCATCCCGTGCCGGCCACCTGACCGCTGCCGATTTGCCCAATCTTCTGTTGAAGCACAACGGTCAGGGGTTTACACAGTGACCTCATGTCAGTCATTTTACCCCAGTGCTGCAAATGAGCGGATAACCGATAGATCGCGACAACTTGCTGGGAACCGCATTCAGTATAATCTCCCGTTCACGCTTCAAGTAGCGTCGTGGATGAGAGTTCATGTTTGAGGAACCGTCCACGCTCGAGAGTCTTAGTGTCAGAAAAACGCTCACAGTAAGGAACAGAATGTTTTTTGCGATCAAGCGGGTGCAAAAATCACAAGCAGCATCGCGGTTCTTATACTGTACTCTTGTCACCAAAATCCAGGCTTCTGGATCTATTTGGGTAGCGACTCGATATCGAATACTTTCGTACTCCAGCGTCCAGAAAGCAACTACATTTTCTAAACTAAACTAAACAAAGAATTTCGGTTTTATATTTTGAAGCCATTTAGAGAAGTGCTTCTGTCGAACTAGTCCACGGAATCACAAAGCATCCGCCTTTGAAAGACATTTGACTCGGTGATTTGTCTTTGCATTGCATTTCAGACCGGCATCCTGCAGTGAACATTTGAGTCTTGATAACACCAACGACTTCTGAGCTACGAAAGGCGCTGAAAATTTCTTGCATTTCCTGCAGTTACGTGCGCCGAGAGTTCATTTTTAGGAACCGTCCACGGTGGAGATCCTTAGTGTCAGAAGAAGGGTCACAGTAAATAACAGAATAGCTCTTTGCGATCAAGCGGGTACACAAGTTACGAGCAGCAACGCGATACCCACCCAACTTCGCACTCATGATGACGAAACGTTTGCAAGCCAATTTCGGTGCTTGTCGCTTAGATCAACTGCCACCTGATCAATATCTATTACGCTTTAATTTATCTCTTCTGTTGCTTTAATGCGATACCGCTAGTTTGGTCGTATTCATGCAAGCTTCAAAAGACAATCCAGTGAACATGTATTACGCAGACATATCCGGACACACCACATGTATATAAAAAAAATGGCTCTTCGTTTAGCAAGTAGTCTGTCAAAAACGCGTTTCTTTGTTTGCCTTTAAACGGCTCATTTATGACCCATATTTCTAATGGATATACTGCATTCTAAATTCCCGGTCGGAGAAAATTATTTGATTTCGTCCATCATTTAAGACGTCAAATTAAGTTTCCTTTTCTTTCATGGCTTTCCATGACTATAAAAGCCTATAGAACCTTAATAGAATAAGCGCAATCAATACTTGATCAATTACGGTAGATCCTCTTTGGTAAACGGCGACTGTTAACTACTCCTGCTACTACTGGTACGAAGATGCCTGAAAGTTTGTGGTAATTGACTACTGTGGAAAGGTTTGTCCGTGTGCAGCAACCAAACAAATTTATTCACCGTGAAAGCGTGAGTCCGAGTTCCAGTGCGCTGCGGCCGGATGAATTTCTACATCAGTTCATTGAGCAAAACGAGGAGAAAGTGACATGACCCTGCGTATCAAAACACAATATTAACCTTAAGGCCCTGAGAATGTGGGCTCACGGGAATGTTGACATTTTTCATTCATTTTCTGATCTCAGCTGGAAATCTAGGGTACCAGGACAAAGATTTGGGCTTCCCGAAATGTTTTGTAATCTCGTAAGTAGTGTGGTGAACACTTTCAATACAGCTCCAGAAAACTCGGTAAAATTTCTGACCCGCGCGTTCGCTATCGTTTGAATTCTGTCGATTTTTTTGCTATCATGTGCGTGGGAACGCAACACAAAAAGCTACCCTTCAAAGCTGCCTGCACCATTACATGGGTCGTAGTGACTAGGTTTTCAACTTCTCTGACCATGGAGATGCTCCGTTTATTGAATTCCGAGGAGATGTGATGCGTTTGATTATGTATGGTAACCGCGTTGATAGTATACGGCTTTTTCAATGAAAAAGCTATTTTTTTAATGGAATGATGGGGCTTAGATTAACTTATCTGGACATATTATCATCATGAAACATGAAACAAGTAGTTAACACTGGTCTCACAAAGTGGTGTCCCCAGCAATTCAAGTGTCGTATTTCTCGTCAAGGTAGTTTATATGATAACGTCACGCCGATGTTGTTTGACCAAGTTTAATTTTGCTCAACCCAGATGATTTTGCGACTGATCCATTGAGATTGCAAAACAAATGTGGATACCAGAAACACAGTGGCTGGGCGTCAACAATGTGGCGTGGATGGTAGGAAGAGGGTTACGAAGAAGGCCTCGTGCAAATTCTAGAGGGACAGCGCAAATGTTTTGTAGTAAGAAAACGATTTCCTATTTTATATAGGAAGGCATCCTGTGATGAAAATCTGAGAAGCAATGTACAAATTTTCCGTCCATATTTCGAATCATCGGTGGTGAGCATAGTACTTTAGAAGTTTACATTTTCGGCCAACCAACGGCATGATTTATCACCAGGAAGCCGAGATACCACGTCACCCATTCTTCAGTCGCTTGCGACGAACTCAGCGAGTGCCAACTACTCACATGAAGCATCCATTCGTCGTGTAAATTGATGTTCATTGTAAACCACTTATAGACGCTTGACAATGTAATGGCATTTGAAAGACCTCAAATTAATGGAATCTCACTGAAATTTCGTGAAACGTAAAAAGGTCTAAAGTCTCCTAAACATGTGGGATTGACCATTCATTATTCCGATATGGTGGCTGCAATCTTATTCGCTGTGATATTGGACCTTGCGTGCCATTTTAATGGAGGTTTGCATTACTGTCGGCAGCGTAGCTTACAAACACCACGGAGGGCATGGTGGCACTGATATTCCGGAGCAACAAAAGACACTTAACAGGTTACTCATCTATAGCTTCAAGAGGACCAAACAAAACGCATTCAAACATTGTCCGTGAGCTGATTTTGGTGCCCAGTGTTTCCGAAACTCATTATTCTTCCAGATCTTCCATCCATCTGGTTCCTAGCTGCTAATCCGAACAGACACTGCCGGGACTCCAAAGCCTACAGAGTTACAATCTAAATGTCAAAGTTCGGCTGGAGACGCGGGCCCTCTGGTCTCTAATACCACTTTGGAATCGTGCTGTACATTAAGGATTACTACCACGGCTCTATGTTTTGCGATGTTCTCACTCTAAAGATGAGATTTGAGTAGCGTAATTTTTGCCCTGGCTGTCGCGGAGACCCCGTGAAATAGCATCAGTATGTCCTTCATATACAGTTAAAAAAACGCACTGATCAGTACAATAAAAGGAAGTTTCAAACTTGGTTTATTCTTGTTCCATTCGTGATTCTTGTAAGCAGATAGTGGCTGGCTCTATGTAAGATGTGTTTAGCCCTGGATTGCACAATATCCAATGTTCAGCGATTAATGCCGCCTCCACTGCTGAACTGGTTTCATCTGACTGGGAGAAAGCATGATATAACCGGTACAACACCTGCAATATTTTGGTATCCCCATGCAGTAACCACCATTGCTAGGTTGATACTGCCTTCGAAAATAACAGGTCCAATGATTGTGACGTGACTCCCGCTGATCATTCTCGTCAGCGGTCATTTCTGAGGGGTTCTACCCAGAAAAAACTGATTAAACATTTACATACTAATGAGATTTTGATGAGCTTAACCAACGGAATCCAGCTAAATGTCTCCTTTACAGGAGTGGTCAGCGAGTTCCGTGAAACACGGTTTCAACCGGTAATAAATGTTGAGGGAAAGACAAGTATTTCGCTCACGCGATTGATCCCAGGCTGCCCGAGGACCATGGTGTTTTGTCGAAGAGATTTCAGCCTCCGTGTTAGTGGTGCGTTATTTCTAGTGTTCTTGCAACCTCTGTATTTCTGTGAATCACAGTAACAATTCGTCAATAATTTGCAACACTCAATTTCTTTCATAATGATTTATAATTTCTATTGTCTGAACTTTCAAAAATTCTAGTCTAAGCCCCCCCCCCCGCCAATGAAAAGGCACAATCTTCGTCAGCATTTTGGAGGGACAAGCGAATGGAACTCTTTCTGGCGGAAGTATACCCGTATGCCTGGATTACATGTTCGGAATACGTGTGTTTTATTGATACTGTGAGGTTTGCGTGGTTAATCAGTTAGTAGTCATCAGGCAGTATTAATAATTTTGATTCCCTAAAACTCTAATTGATTTATCTTCAATTAATTGGTCATATTGTTTGAGTAAATGTAAATAGTTGAAGGAGAGTTAGCGCAGGTTTCTTCGGGAACATGCAAGATGCAGCAAATCACCAACACCATCGACTACATTAACACCACCACCGCAAATTTCTTCCCAAGCATTAGGAAAATTTATGGAAATTCAATCAGGGCTTATTCGGCGCCCCAAAATAAGGAAACCATTTTGAGCAAACTTAGATGACAATGCTATCGATTTGGTGGATATCAGTCCTGTTTGAGAAGCAGTTTCGCAGGCGATAATAACTGCTCACTGATCTTTCAACACGAACGAGTAAGCTCTAATGTGTACAACCACGGTTGCAGGGCAAGGCAGTTGTTTTTTTGTATGGAAAAGGACATAATCTTTGGTCGTATTGCACTGATAGGCGTCTGCATGTTGTTCGTTTCAGGCGACAGGTAGTCTCCGATTTGTAAGATTTCAAAGTCTCTACGGCTTACTGATGCATCGAAATGATGGCGCAATAGCAGTATTTCTTCAGCGCAATAATTGATATTTTGAACTGTCTAACGTAACAGTCATTTCGAACGCGATTATATATATAAATATAATATACGAGGTAACCACTTTATATTCAAATGATAGTCCAATTAGTTCGGTTGCTTAGAAATCGATTGTGTCAATCTCTTCAGTGACAGAATCGGTTACCACCACGCGGGTGAAGATCAACTGAGTTTGCTTTTTAGGACTGGCTTAGTAACCTCAATTAAACATTACTTGATGGAAATCAGAGTTGCAGCGACCAAAAAGGTTCATCCAGTAAGCCTCACAATGTGGTTGGTTTTATATATCTAAAATTTTGACAGGTGGTAGTCGAGTTGACAACAGCAGGTAGTGACCTCGTTGTGGACTCTAGTGTTCGTAGATTCATATGAAATTATTGAGGACTCGAGTGTGGTTTCACGCGGGTTTTTGCGTCTCACCTGATTTGGCAAAAACTTCGCAGCCTGTCTGATTTCTTCCTCTTAAAATGTGTCTTACAGTGGCCTTGAAATAAGTCGTCCTGTGGTTTTTGGCACCATCGTTATATAAAGCGTGTTCGTACCGCATGGGTGCACTAGGAAGCCGTTGAGAAGAGGGTATGAAATTGGGCTGCGATTTGCTTCAAGTGACTCCCAAGTCCGCGTAAACGGAGAACGCACCTTTCAAGTCAAATCGCACATATTTTATCTATCTTTCTCGAGTTGGCCTAGTCTCGTAAACGTGAAAACCGAGGTACTCAAGTGGGACATTCTCCCACGCAAACGTAAACACGGCCACATAACTATATGAAACAGAATAAGTCTGGGAGTAGATTTGGTTTGTCTATTCAAGAAGTGGTGGACGGTGAACGTTGACGCAGCTCGGATGGGCATCACACAAAATACAGATTAGAGGGTGCGTGTAGGTTGAAACGATGTTTTCAATCGAAAATTTATCAGACAAGTGGTTGCGAACAAATCTCCTTAATATTGTTAGTGACTCAGTTGGTCAAGACACTAAAAGAAATATCATCAGGCCATGAGAGCAATCCACCTGTTGGAATCATTCAGCTACCAAGAGAATGCAGTGCTTCACTTTGACGCGTTTCAAATCAGCTCATTGGAGAGTTCGGTTGGAACCATGCAACTTGGAAATCATTTCAAATTATCAAAAGACTCCGAATTATTTATTGACAACGATTCCGTCGTAGGCTGATCAGAGTAAAACTCCGGCGATGGGCACCAGGACGATATTGTCGGAGCTGAAACGTTTGCCGTTTTCGAACCGTCACGGAACATTCTCTAATCTCTTTGAAGTAACGAAACATCGTAAGCAGAATTGTGTGCACAGACATGGTCTCTGATTAACCTGGAAGATATGAACCTCGCCCACGGCCTTGGACTATAGCCACCCACTCTTTCGCAAGTTTGCAATGTCTTCTTTTGCGAAGAAGGAGATGAAGAGTCGGAGTCCATTTTCATCATGAGGATGAACCGGAGATGACCAAGCAGTCGTGTGCGTAAGTAAATGTTTAGTGGATATTCACACAGTCAGCGAGTTCTTCATTCGAACTGCGACGAATATCGCGGCACAATAATTTCGGGAATTTAGAGGAAACTCGCTGCTACTTTGCTTGCTAGTCATAAATTACCGTTTCATTTTGCAGCAAAGGAAAGTAGTTTCTCTATCTGCGGACTCATTTAAGCGAATGGAATTCAATGCCACGAGTAGGCTCATGAGACATGCTCCACAATTCGGCTACCAGGGAGGTTATACACTCTGAAACCGAGAACAATGTCAGTTAATGCGCAGTAAGCTTGGGGTATTTCGGTGGAGGCCACGGCGAACCGCTAGATAATTATCAGCTTCTCCGATGGAATAACATAAATAAACATATATTTTTCTACCGTCCATCCAACCAACCATCCATCCAGCAATCCACCCATCCATCCATTCATCGATGCATCCATCCATCCATCCATCCATCCATCCAACCACCCATCCATCCATCCATCCATCCATCCAACCACCCATCCATCCATCCATCCATCCATCCAACCACCCATCCATCCATCCATCCATCCATCCAACCACCCATCCATCCATCCATCCATCCATCCAACCACCCATCCATCCATCCATCCATCCATCCAACCACCCATCCATCCATCCATCCATCCATCCAACCACCCATCCATCCATCCATCCATCCATCCAACCACCCATCCATCCATCCATCCATCCATCCAACCATCCATCCATCCATCCATCCAACCATCCATCCATCCATCCATCCAACCATCCATCCATCCATCCATCCAACCATCCATCCATCCATCCATCCAACCATCCATCCATCCATCCATCCAACCATCCATCCATCCATCCATCCAACCATCCATCCATCCATCCATCCAACCATCCATCCATCCATCCATCCAACCAATACGTACGTACCTACACACAAACATATATACCTGCTGCCAGTCAACATCCTTTTAAGAGTAAATGTTGCTCAATTGTTTTCTTGGTTCCAGCCGATTGTTGTTGGCAGGAAACTCCCCTTCCGGGGGTGTATGTTTTTTTCGAAGCTTAATGGAGGCCACAACTGAGAAGGAACACGAGAAAACTTAGTGAAAACTGCATCGGACATTTCAGGTTTTTTAGTTTATTTTACTTATAAAACTGATCGCAGCAGAACACCTGAAAGCAGATAAAAGCTCACATCAGCTGAGCATTGAATTCTTTAGGTAAAAATGAGTGTTGAGAATGCACGGTTGCAAGTAAACGGTCATCAATTGAGTAGTTAAGAATTCGTCATTTTCCAGCCGCTTAAAAATCTAACGTGGTACGTTTAGATGTGCAAAATATATTTTATACTCCATCGATGATTTCACGCAACTATTTCTCTCGCTACTGTCGGCCTGGCCATATCGTCACAGAAGCGCATCGCGAGATCGTCATGGATGTGACGACCCACCATAAGAAAACGGTAAACAACTTGTCCACGAGGGATGAGCTCGTGAGTTTCAAGGCAGCATTCGATCAAATACAGATGCATTGTTTCACAATTCACCAAGTGCATTGATCTCGTGGAGCATGCAAACAATGGTGCAAAAATATTTTCCCTCTCCTGGCCAATATTTTCAAACTTTGGCGTCACCTCAGGAGAGCCACAGTCCCAAAATTACTCTCAGTTAAACGACTGCAAATGACCATAACGGTAGGAAATTCCTCTGCAAATATGTTACTCACATTTTGGTTTTCTTCTTGGGTTTTGATATAATCCCCAAACATGGTGATGAAATGAGTTTCCGTATAACACCGTGATCACCAGTGAGAATCATAGAAGTTGGGTGTGACGTATTTTTCCCTATAGCTCTTCGCTTTGCTGCTCATGTGTTCATGTTGAAGGGTCAGATTGAGCAATAAACATTTCCACCGATACGCTAGGATTATCATCTAAGTTTGCTGAAAATTGAAATAACTAAATTTCTTCGGATTAGACCGAAGTGAAGTGTCCGAGCGCCGATGTGTTTTTCGAACGCTACCTTGGTTGTACTCGCTAGTTGACGAAGCAGCGACCTCTTGTGACATTTCAAAGTTATTTTGAGTTCCAAACTGTCTTTCGACATCTTGGGACGACAAAATGCACGAAATCATAGCATCATGGTTCTTGATTAAACTACGGCTTTTAACCACACAAAATGTTCCCTACAAAGAACACATACTACAAACATCGCGGATATACTAACTGGATGACTCTAATATTTGAGTAGTTCTCACTGTCTACTGAAATCTCCAACTAATCTCTTCCTTATTTTGGGGTCACCGGCTAGTTTTGATTGCAGAATTTCCATAAATCATGTTAATGCTGGAAAACAAAATTGGCGGTGGCGGTCGTAATATCGCTGATGGTGGTGGTGAGAGGAAATGTCTATAAAATATTTATCATTAATCCCACGAAAAGTGCCGTACATTGGAAAGAAATTATTGTAGACTAGAATGCTGGCCAAAAGATAACCGCTCCAGCTAGAAGGAAGCAAAACCAAAACAGAGGTAAAAATAATCCCACTTTGTTGCATCATATGTTTTTTCTGTATCTTATTGACTTCACTCAGATATTCGGAATTACCAAAACAATATGGCTTACTTACTAAAGATAAAAAACCGTGTGGCTTAGTGAACCAAATGTACTACTAACGGCAGCTGAGTACCGTAGGATAACCCATCCACAAATGACAGTTTTGGTAAAACACACGTATTCCGAACCTGTAATCCAGGTATACGAGTACACGTCCGCCGGACAGAGTTTGATTTGCTTGTCCTTACTAAAACAGACCAGGACGGTTCCCTTTCCAGTACGGAGCAATTTTGGAAGGTTCAGATAACGGAAAATACGGATTAATATAAAAAATCGTGACATATTGACGTAACTAATCGAAAAACTCTTATTGTGACGCAGATAAATTGTGAAGATACGAGGAATCTAGGAATCCCGCACTACTCCTAAGGTTGCTGAAATCCCTTCGGCAGAACAACATGATTTTCAAGCCCACTGGGGTCAATTAGGTAGGCGTAGTCATCCAGTTTACCTCGGAATTAATTATGTTTTGAAACCACAATAGATGGAATCCGCTAAACGTTCTTGTACAGGAGACATTTATCTGGATTAGGCTGGTTCAGCCCGTCGAAATCCAATCAGAATGTGAGTGTGTAATTTGTTTTTCAGGGTAAAACCCATCAGGAGAGACCATTTACGAGAATGGTCGCAGATGGTCACGTCACACGAATTAGATCTGCTTTCTTATATTTTGAAGTGTACAGCAAAATATTACAGGTGTTTCACCGGTATTACAGTGATTTCCTCCACCCAGCAAAACTAATTCAACAGCAGAAGCGACCTTATTCGCTGAAGACTGGGTTTTGTGCAATCTCAGGCTAAACGTCTCCTGCATATGGCCAACGACTATCTACATACAAGGAATACAAAGAGAACAAGAATGAGCCGGGTTTGGAACTTAACTCTGTTCCACCTACAAGTCAGGGATTTCAACCATAATTGGGGGATAATCTGAATGATATTTAACAAGATCCACACGAGTGTAAGTCAGAAAATTACGCCACTTACTTTCCATATCTGAAGGAAGAATGTTCCAGATGACGGAGCCATAGAAGCATCATCCATGTAAAGCAGCATTTTCTTGTGCTTTTAGTTTCTGTACACATATGCAAGGAGATCTTTGAACTCTGCGGCATCGAGCTGTCACAAGACAAGAAAACCTCTCCTGAGCTCGACGTAACTCATTAAATATAACGTCAAATTACGGGCCAAAACGTCCAGGTATGCGAACTAACCTCAGCATTTTAAGTCTTCCTGTCTAGGCTTTGGCAACTTAGCAGTTTCTCAGCCGTAGTGCTTCCTTTGGGTGGAATGATACCTAGGCGCCCAATCGGTGTTCTAGATGAACGGTTGTGTTGAATTATCGGAAATGCAATCATTTGAAGGACAAAGTATGAATGTGTTTCGCTCAGTGCTGCTGAAGTTATACATGAGTAATCGGTTTAATGTCTTAACTTTACTTGTAATATCAGTGTCGCGGTGTCCTCTGTAGTGTTAGCCAGCCTCACTGCAAACGGTCATGGATACCCCCGTTGGAAAGATCCCTCAATGACCTAGTTTCAGAACGACCAGACTTCTCCGTTTCCTTTGGTTATTGTTGTCACGCATGCTGCAGTTTCGGGTGGTTAAGGCAAGAGAAAGGATAGATAAATATGAAAAAAAATTATGATTAAGTGAGTAGTGTAATCGGTGAACTAATGCTGTGACTCACAGAAACAGTGATTCTCCAAGTACTCGACAGCGAACTCACTAAATAGAAGGTCGCCGAAAACGCTCTGACTGCACAAATCTTGACAGGAGCAGTTAAGATGCAGAGATTGGGCTTGCTCCAAGCACTGTGGGTCAGTTTACCCGTGCTGCAGCCACTGGACTAAACGGAGCACCACTGAGTACTATGCAGCGAGGCACCTGGTCCGTTTGCTGAACTGGGTAATTCGGTTTGAAACTTTTTAGATCACAAATAGAGGTGACAATTAAGTGCGTTTTGCGTGGGAGCGCGGTTGGGTTGGTACTCTATGGTTGTTGCAACTGCGTGGACTGATACGAGGTATACCCATTCAGATGAACCTTGGTCGATGATTGATGGTCTGGGTGAGCTTCCCTTTTGACCTTTTGATTGACTTGTCTTCAGATTGGTGGATATGCCAGATTGAATATTTTAAGGATGCTGTTTATCTTAGCAGTTTCATATTGGGACCGTTTCTCCCCCTAATTCGCCAAGGTTGTTGATGAAATAAGGCGCTCTGGGGCTACGGCGTAGCAGCTTGGGTAGACTCACCAATTTGGTCTCTGTTTGTGTACGGCGGTTTCAAAGGACCTACAGTGAATTCGGTATACTTTGTTATCAGTGCATTTCGCTGCGGCGACCTGTAATGCGAAAACGAATCATGATAACGCTCATCTTCTCTCAGCCCTAAGCAGCGCTGAAAATTACATGCATTCCCCACAATCGCTTACTAATTCACCGACCGATATGCGAACCTACACATCATATTTGGGAATGATTCATCACGACGGAGTTCATCGGACCTCCTGTCGGATTTTTTCCACTTCACTAAGTCTCTTACACAAACACCTAACGATAAATCTTGAATTTTGCGTTTGTAATCAGTCTACGGAGACAAACTATGTTAATCATTGCCCTAATGTTACTAAGAATGGAGCACGTAAGTACTATCTCGCCATAGCCATTCAAAGCAAAGTCCATACATCTGATGGAATGCAAATTAGAAATATTCCAATCGGTCTACAATTTTCGGTCATCATTGTGAACCAGGTCCACCAGAGGATCTCGGGAAGACGGCTAAAGTTGTGCCAGCTTTGTCAAAGGGCAAACGAGGCCTTTACTACTGCAGCTTGTAACCGCTTTGTTCTTCTCACTGTGCAATCCCGTAAGCGTATGCCCTCATTATATCACCACCGGAGAAGCAGTTTCCAAAAAAGTCTCACGTTCCACATAAAAAAACCTTAAAGCCCATGGGTTGGGAATTAAAACACGGCAGACAATGTATGATGCACCGAGTCGTTAAGGAACATTTATTGATATTTTTGTTGAATCCAAAATTTCCACACGAATTTGTGCATTGCCTAAGTTATGCCACTGGACTCGTTGCACGACGGACGGCCAACGCCTGGTTCAAACACAGAAGATGGACAGCAATTCCGCCTACTGAATAGGCGGAAGAAACAAGAGCAGAATGTCCACTTTGTTGCAGCAAAAACGTGGATTAACCGCTTGCCTTCTTGTGTTTGCTTCCACCATCGCTGTCCTCCGATGGGCATAGGGACGGGCGTTTCTACAGATCACAGTTTCCGTATTGTGGACTGCAGTAGATAGTACTTTGCTAAGCAGCTTATGATGCGAACATTTTCGCCCTTATATTTAAGCAACTGCGGGATACCGAGACGTAAGTAGTCAACTCTTTCTGAGATTCTTTGTACATGACGCAGTATACAAAAGAATAAACGAACCAGAATTTTATCACACCTGTCAGGTTCATGCCGACCTTTAGGCTAACGAAACTATGTACCTCATTTATGATGCTCTCAGGCAACTGAATGTGCTGCACCAAGCCGCCTCATGTTTCAGTCGCCACGATATTTGAAATATCGCGATACTGTATATCTTTGTAATATACTACTCATAAGGTTGCTTAACATCCATCGACAACCCACTTAATTGAGAAAGCCCTTTCTAAGAAACATCGTGGTATCAGCCAACAGGTGACCACGTGATGTGGTTCCCGTCATTGACGGATTATTGTTGCTTTGTCCTGCTTTTAGTTGGAGCTAATCAAAATGCTGAACTGTTGCTTCAGGCCAAACGGTCACGTGCTGAAACTACCATGCGGACCGTCACGGGTTCGGTTCGATCCACCTGGAATTTCGTGAAATGCGCACTGCAGATAATTTCCTAAGGATGAGCTCCATTGCTTTTCAGCTTTTAGGCATAAAATGAGTTTACTTTGGAGAAGAGCTCTCCAACGAAGACTCCAAAGTTTTCTCATGTCACATACAGATAGGGGGCTGCATCTATCCATAGTATAGTTGTGAAACCGGCCAGTAGGCTAAATAATCCTCTGAGGGTGGTCTGGCTGAAATTAGAGTTCGACATTGAATACCAAATTAGCATTCCCGTGGTATTGAGATATACAAACGCCCATGGTTTTTCCGAGTACTTTAATCCAGGCCCCTATTTTACCGGGGTTAAGCGGCCAATAATTCATTTCATTGAATGATTATTCAAAAATATAACCGGACTAGATCAGGAAGCCCGCATGGAACAAATAAGGGATGTCAACAATTATATTGATTGCGATAATATATAGAAGACAGCTTAGCAGGAAGCGCAAACAAAGGAAATCCAGCAGGGTCTGAGACAGATGTGCACACAGGAGATCACGTGACCTCCAGATTGAAACACATTATTCGGTGGTTTGCTTGCCAAGCTGTCCACGAACACTGCATTTGGTAGAAAGGATGACTTGAACCGGTATCACAACTTTGGCATTTAGATTCCGTTGCACAAATCCGTGGATTAGGGATGCAGCGCGCTTGGACGGAATAAATGCCGCATTGTAACAAGCGAATTCCTCCGTCTTCAGCAATCCTCGGCTCTCCAGCTGCGTTATGCACTACAAATACAGTTCATTTGGAAGAATAGAAAATTATTCACATATTCTGAATATTGCTCTTTGTTCACCGTTCCAACTCTAAATCCGGTGTAGCTGCAGATCGTTGCAATTTTCCAGGTGAGGTGATGTTTACTGGGCCCCTGGTCTAAGCAAGTTTGGGGAACCTATTTGATTCGGTCTTTTTCCATCATCGTCATCATCGTCACATTCATCGTCATCATACAAGTCAGCGTAGCATCAGTGTTCGCCACAGGTGCTTTGCCGCCGGACAATCAAGTTTTAGGTGGACGCATTATTTTAAAGTAAAACTACATCCTAATGGGCAATGGATTTATTTCCAGCCTACCAAAATAATTTCGGGATGCCCCAGACATCCATTGATAAATCTAGGTGAAACCTAACAGCAGGATCGCCAATGACATGGATTATCACCAGTCTTCAAAACGACTTATCGTCGAGCTGGTTAGAAAAAATGTACGGGATAGATGTCGACCGATTTGAGATATTTTGAGGCATTGAATAGGGTGTTGTCATTTTTAAAAATTTGTAGATAAGTCTTCGTCTGTTCAAGCCGGCTTTTCGGAGAATAATTGGGTATTGTCCATGGAAACCGTTCACCTAATTTCTGAGAAAGTTTCGGGCACCTCTATGAAGAAAACTCTGAACGAGGATTTATTCTTCTGTGAAAATGATAAGTCTGAGGTATCGAAACATCAACTGATGCACTGTAAACTTCTTAACATGTTTGAAAAGGTGAATAAGCGGGTCAGTTCGAGTGTTCGGTCTCGGATGCCATCTACTCTACCCCAATTTATTTCAGTATTTTCAGAACTGCAGTGGTGCCTGCTACGACATAACCCATTTCAATGCTGTTGTGTGAGCCAGTTGCTTTATCCTGGAAGGAGATTCACACCGATATAAACGGACTCCTCGGAGGCTGTTTCCCACCATCACACTTCGCTCGATCGAAGTCGCTTTTGCACGATCGAACTCTCATTTGCTATGTGTCCAAATGTGGATTCAAAGACGTTAGTTTCCAACCGTTTTTGTTCTGAGATGGCTGCTTTCGACCGTATTGGCCTCATCACTCAGCTACACTGCTAAAAAAACCGGTACGATAGCGGACACATTCTGCGAGATTGAGAGCTGTGGCGCTTTGCAGCCCTACGTACCAAGAATCAGATAGCTCACCCGGATGTCCAAGAATCGGGTATGTAAGTTGTATACCAGAATACAATTTGAAATTACGCGCGCTTGTCAAACTCCAAGGACCACCGAGAAGATTCCTAACGTTGACAAATAGGGAATTGTTCAGCGAATATTAATAAACATTTCTTCCAGTAAGTGGAGCCAGGAAGCACTGTTTATCTGTTCCACCTCATTGAGGTTCAATTGCCCTGTGAATCGCAGGAAACAAACATCCGATGCTCCGGCTGGTGTTCTGAACACTTAAACGCTTTCTGCTTCTCACACACCTATGGCTGTCGCACTGTCATCAGCAGACAAATTGGTATACAAAGGACAAACAAGCCCTGCATTATCCTGATCGTCATGCAATGTAAATCCGAGAAGTTTATGTTCAGTTCGCAAGAACAGTAAGAAGGCCAACTTTCATACACGAATCGTATTAAATCTCGTTTACCCTGCAATGTGTTCACATTCGTAGTGTTTCATGACACCTCCGCGTAGGACAGAGTATCTCCCGAGAACCAAATTCAATGATTCATCAATTGCATCAGTATATGGTTTGAGGATAAGCTTCTCAAAATGAGTTTTCTGAATGAATGACGGAATGAAGCCAAATGAGCTTTATGCAATTTTTTATGGTTGGAACTCTTCCCAACACCAAACAAAAGCTTTTTCATAGTCACAAAGGTTTGCGATTTACGTCATCACCGAAATTGTACAAGTCACCTAACGTTGTCTACCGTTTCATTGTCGAACCTCTGTACAATATTTGCGAAAGGGGCAGAGGATGACGTCAGACGGTGCGTAGTGGACTAAGCTGCTCATGCAAATCTAAGGCTGATCTGATGCACAAAATAATATCAGAATGATTTCTTGCGTTGCCACCTGCAACTTAATTTTCCCAACGATTATTGCCCCAATAGCGATAAATTGGACACATATTTAGCGAATCTTCTGAGCTGATACTGCCCTAGGAAACCAGTTGCACAAAATGGCACAGAGTAACGCACAAAGTTATGGGAGAAATCAGTTTGGCGTGTACTTTCAGGTGTTTTCCGTCGAACCATGCATATTCAACCGCGTTTACCAATTTTTAGAACACGGTCAATGTTCTGAGTTCGAAACTCCCAGATACTGTGCGATAGTTGGCCAAATCCACATTAGGAATTTCGTTACTTAAACGTCAGTGTGATAACATAGCACCTTGCAATTACCGATGAGGTTCACATAATATTGAAATATTAAAAAATATTAAAAAATATTAAAAAATATTAAA